CGTCGTCCTCGAAAACGATAGAAGAGGAAATTTGCCGATAATTATTTTATATCGAGGAATAATAAATATTATATTTTCGAATATATATATATATGTATATATTGGTGGAAAAAGTAGTTTTGATCATTTGGTAATCTTAAGAGAAAATTAGGTATAAGGAAATGTAATATGGATGAAATTCGTCGTCCTCGAAAACGATAGAAGAAGAGGAAATTTGCCGAGAATTATTTTAAACCGATATTATTCGAGGAACAATAAATATTATATTTTCGAATATATATATGTATATGTATATATTGGTGGAAAAAGTAGTTTTGATGATCATTTGGTGATCTTAAGAGAAAATTAGGTAAGGTATAAGGAAATGTAATAAGGAAATGTAATATGAAATTCGTCGTCCTCGAAAACGATAGAAGAAGGGGAAATTTGCCGAGAATTATTTTATATCGAGGAATAATAAATATTATATTTTCGAATATATATAAATTCATCAATCGTCTAAACGAGGGAAGATCTCCTTTACTTTATTAAAATTCCAAAAGAAAAAAAAAGAAGAAAAGAAATTCCTTTTCATCCATTTTATTCTAAGAGACGTATAATTTTCCATTCCAAAATATAACCTATACCCTATAACCTATAACCTATAACCTATAGCCCTATCTATAATAGTTATATAAGTTATATATAATAGTTCCTCTCCAAAAATAAAAGAAAGAAAATAATCAGAACAAGAGTTTGCAATCGTAACCCTAATCCGAAAGGGGAGGAATATGAATATCGGTTGGTTGCGAAAGAAGAAAACGGAGGAGGAGGAGGAGGCGGCGAGAAACGAGGAAAGGGCGCGATGATTGCGGCGTAATCTGCTTTCGTTTTGCGCCACGGAAAAAGGGGGGTAGTTGCCAGTTGTCGTTTCTTCGATTGGCCCGGGGGTAGCTCGGTAGAATCGGTCGAGATACATCTTCGAAGGGAGGAAAAGAGCGAGGAGAGACGCCGCCGAGGATCCGAGGAGGAATTCGAAGGGAGAGAGAGAGATGGATAGGGGGAGAGAAATCAACCCTCTCGACACGGGGATACATCCTATAAACGGCGGCAAGCCCCCAGCTACGCGTGGAGAGAGAGATAATCCGGCCCCCGGGGCCCGCGTGCGGTTGAGCGCTCGCAACAGTTACCATATTTGATTGTATCCCTTCTGTATCCTGCAGGAATACAAAATAATAACGCGTCCCGCGCAGATCCAAGCCCCGTTCCCGATTAATGACGCTTCGCGAACGTGCCTGGTTATACGGCGGAGGGGTGAAGGTGGAGCAGAGCAGAGGAAAAAAGTAACTGGTTGGAGATAATAATTAGAATAAGGTCAGTTTAAGCGATCGTTTTTATTAAAGTGTTATCGAATAATTATATCGAAGTGAGTTCAGTTATTAAATTTTGCCCATCGTTGGCGGCATAGTTGAGCATTAATGTCTATAATTGAAAAAGTAACTAGTTGAAAATATAATTAGAATAAGGTTAGTTTAAGATCGTTTATTAAAATGTTATACGAATAACATTTATTCGTAGCTTATGATTGGCGGCATAGTTGAGCATTAATTTCTCTTGAAAAAGT